ATTGATACAGTTTGTTTAAGTTCATCCCAACGAGTTGGTCGACGATCAAATGCTGATGTTATATTACCTACAAGCAAAAAGTATCGCAGAGAATCTGAAGAACTGACAATGCAATTGAAATTCGTAGTGAATATGCGTCTTTAAGAATGAAAATCGACTTACCTATTGCTGTTCCCATCGATCCACTATCATCACATATAAATACAACTTCGAATCCTTCTAAATTTCTTAATCTCATGGCAAAATCCTGATTTATTTCATATTGTCCAACAATCTGTCGAAATTTTACCATTCGTTCTTCGGATGATGTGAGATAATTTCCTTGCTGTTGTTGATTGGGATTTGGATACATGGATGAAGATGATGTGGACGCTGGTGCACCGGCCATCGAATTAAACCCAAACTGTTGTTGATTGGGATTTGGATACATGGATGAAGATGATGTGGACGCTGGAGGATGTTGAGGAAACATTATTGGAAATTTCGTTAAATGATAGGTTTTGTCTAAAAACTCAAAAACCGTTCCGTATGATTAAAAATATAGATATGTCTAATTTTTTTTAAAATATAAATACTAATTACCACTTATCTTGATCGCTTCTACCTCTTATTTAATTTCACTTTTATTTGGAATATAGAAATGAGAGATTCCAATGTCAATAATTGTATCTCTTTTGAGAAACACAATTTCTTGCCAAAATATTCGTTTCTCAAAAGAGATACTTTTTAATTGATTAAAACAGACACATTGTAAAATATGGATTTGTATCTCTTTTGAGACGTAGCCCTATCAGTTAATGTTTGGAACTACGATTAATTAATTAAGATTGAGATCTTGACATCAGTCTTATGCCAGTATTAAAGTTTTCTCTCTATGCTGAAACTAGATAACTCAATAAAAATAGAAATTAAGAGAAGTTTGATTCAAAAATTGATATAGTATAGTGTAACTGGATGGGATCGGTAAAATCGCATTTGATTCTTGTTTAAATTTATAACTTTCACCGAATGAATTCGTAATAGAAGAAAACGCAAAAAATCTGTAACTGATTGGACTTTTGGTTGCGATTTGTTTCGACTGTCCACGAGCTAAGACACAGAGACAACCATTTTGTAAGATCCTAGGCTAAAGTCAAGAGAAAAGCATCGGTACACGGAAAGTTTGCTTGTTTATTTTGCCTGCTGTTTTTTTCCATATCTATCCTCATCTCTGGTGATATACTAACGCATGATGGTGGAAATGCAGCTATATTGTATTTCTGATTTTAGATTTTCTTGTACCATGTCGCTTACACCATTAAAACAAGCAGAAGTAAAATTCTTCTTTTATTTGAACTGAATTCGCTATTATTTATTCTTCTAGAATGTGTATACGGAACCTCCAACAGCACATGCCACACGAGTAGAAGTAAGTAGTTTCATTTTTAAACAGTTTAATGAGATGGAGAGGAGACTGACTGCTCTTCTCTATACGTCGTAAAAAAAAATTGCTCGGACAGATGCTGAATTAACACTACTTCAATTAGTTGTAATAAGATAAACAGACTTTCATGTGATTGTTTTCAATGTTGATTAAATTGTCTTTTTATGCTTTTTGCTGATTTAGAAAGAGAGATATTATTTAACAGATAACAAGCACAACGGTTACTCGATGATTCTTCTACTTTCGTATGTGTGCCTATAGTTCCCTTTTGTATATCATTATGGCGCTACTACTAACTTATATAGTGTTATTCTTATTCGATACGTCATTTAGTTTTGTATAGCTTTTACAAAGAAATTTATCGATTGAGAAAAAACATTTTATGACAAACATCTATTAATTCTCTGTATTTTATTTTATATATTTTGTAATAAAGCACTCGCTACATTTTGCGCAGAGAACTTCTTAGGGAATTATTCGAATAAAATTCAAACTAAAAATAGTACTACTGTTTGAACGACTTGGCTCCAAACTCTGCTACAGCAGTGTGGTTCCGTCACGGTTTTTCTGTATTTTGTTTCTCATACTAAAAAGAAATCATTTTTTCCTTTGGTTGTTGGCAGATTATAGTTGCTCTCTAGTAAGTTCATTGTTTTACGCGTGTTTTTACAAAAAAAAAGTAACAATCTCTATGTACAAAAGTAAAAACGTGAAAACGGAATAAGTTAATTAAATTCAATAGACTAAAAAAAAGTCATATTTTCCTTTGGTTGTTGGGTGATTATAGATGCTCTCTAGAAAGTATCACACAGAAGTAGAAAGTCAAAAACATTTTTTTGAGATTCAGAATACAAAAAAATTTCTATCAAAAGCAAATGTTTTAGTAACAATTAGAGATTTCTATAAGAATGAGGAGGTAGATGGTAGTAAGCAACATTTAATTATCATCCATTTTACAGCTCAGTTGTATGAGGTCGTTGTTGTGAAGTAGATGATTGTCTGTTCATAACATAGTGTAGAATAAAATCACCATCCAACTGATTAAATTTTTCACCAATAAATGCCTAGTAGGTATTACACGAAAAAGTTAAAAACAAATCAGCACTTTCGAACTAAACACAAACCGGTTGTTTTGAATTGAGTGACCCTTTGTAAATTTAATAGTTGGATAGGCACGAATAGCTGCTCTCTCACAAATTTCTTTTTGTGTATTACAATTGACTTTACCAACATTTGCTTTTCCTTCTAATTTCTTTGAAAAATAAGAGTCCGATACTATTTCTATCTAATAAGAAGATATAATCATCAAGAAAACTTACTCGAGCAACACCTTCTAAAATGGGACTAAACTGATGACAATGTCCACACTAAAACATTTACAAGTATACACATTATTGAGAAGTCGGTTAGACAAAAAATGCAGATAGCAGTAATGACAATTTATGGATTAAATTAAGTAGTAAATAACGTACCCAAGGAGCATAGAAATCAATCACCCATGAATTGTTATCACGTAACAGAATCGTGGAAAATTTGGCACTATCTAATTCAACCACTTTACTTGGTAGAAAAGTGAATGCCCATGAACGCAATGAGTTTACATCGCGCCATCCATTATGATATAGTCTAGGAGAAACAAAACATTAAACTGTAATCAATTCTGTAACATCACATTCAAAGAATACGCACACAAAATTTTGTCCATCTGAATTTGGTGGATAAAGTCTGATAGTTGGATAAGAATAAATGCCTAATCTTTGACACAAATAAGTTTGAACGGTACAATAGACCGTGGCAACATTGACAATATCTTTCATAAACTGAAAATAAAGAAAACAAATCATTCTCCATAGATATCATCACACTATTTTTACTTTCGATAATTGTCGCCATTCTCCTCATAATTGTTCACACGGAGGACACCATGGCGTAAAAATATCCAATAGCCACATTTCATTATGTTTCTTATTTACCACCAGTTTTTCATATAAATCATTGTCCAGTATAATCACGCAGTGAACTACTGTAAGAAAGAGATCACTAAACTCGTTCATCAACTTTCTTCTTTCACCCACAAAATAATTATGGTTAACATAGTCATCTTTTGCCTTTTTTCCAAAAATTATTCCGGGACCGTTGAGTTCAGCTATTGCTTTTTTGAAACGATCCGTATCATCATCTAAATACAAAATATAAATAAAGAATTAAGCATGTTTGCGGTCTCACGTACCAGTTGACCATCCACATTTATAAATGAGTTCATCTATCGATGTGGGATTTTTTAATTGATACAAATGA